TGCCTGTGGTATATAATGTACTGGAAACTTTGAGGCCTGATAATTTCCACTTGCACACATACAAATGGTCAACAAGCATCTAAAACGATGTTCAACATCATTAATGGTTATGGAAACACAAATTAAAACTATAATCAGAATCTCATTCACACACATGAGAATGGTTATCATGAAGAAAATTTACATCACTACTATTATGAAGGAGGCTTGTGGAAATGTAAAATGAGAATTATATTTGAAAAACAGCATATAAATCTACTCCTCTACAGCATCATCAAAGTCTATTATGTCCTTCTGACAGACAACCTTGCGTTTTTCTCCTTAAATTAGAAATAATTAAATCAATTATAGAAAATTACCAGTGCCAACTACACAAGGTCTATTCTCAGAAAAGAGGGATATAAATCTCAGAAACACTCCTAGAGTAACTGCATTTTATTGGAGGAAGGATCTAAATCAGATGATTAAAAGCACAGAGCAATAAATTTCTACCTACTGCATGATACAGGCAACCTACACCGCTGAAACTTAGAAGAATGAGCTATACCTCTGGACTGCAGTGAAGAGGGAAGTGCTAAATACAGCGGTGGGGTTGAGTTTGTTCTAGAAAACTGAATGGGTTTCCACAGGGAAAGAGAGAAGGGGAAGGCATCCAGACTGGCAAGGAAAGCAAGAGCTCCCAAGTGAGCAGCAATTTACATGAGAGGGCACCTCTGTGGGGACAGGAGTGGAATCAGGATGACAAGATGGTTCGGGTAAAATAGAAAGAAATTTAAACAACACAACAATGAATTCAGGCTTTCCAGAGTTGATCATGGAGGGACTACTGAAGGTTTCTGGGCAGGTGAAGACAGGATGAAATGGTACCTGAAAAGTAAACTGGCAAAGATAATAGCAGTACTTCTTCTTTTTTGTTTCTTAAATCAATATTTAAAAAATTTATTTATGCATACAAGAACTAGGGTGTAGGGCCTCCCCAGTGGCGCCGCGGTTGAGCGCTGGGTTGTGAAGCAGCCCGCAGCCTCTGCAGCAGCAGATCGATTCCCAGCCACCGGTGAGGGTCCCACATGGCACGCAGACCTCTCCTGCCGCCTGCTGCTCCCCTCGGCAGTGTGTTTTGTCAGTCTGCCTGCTCTGCTCCCTGCTCTGACTCTGGTGAATTCTCTCACCCTCCTGCGCTTCTGACTATACCCAGTAATTGTATAAATAGATAAATAAATCTTTAAAAAAAAAAAGAACTAGGGTGTAGGCCACAGGTGTAGGGGGTGAGAGGATTCACCAGAGACAAAGTGGGGAGCAGAACAGGTGTATCTACTGAAATATACTGCTGAGGGGAGTAGGGGTGAGTTAGGAGAGGTCTGCAGCTCGATGTGGGTAGCTCCCTGGCCAGTGATGGAACTCATGTCGCAGTGGCTGGCAACAGCTTGATAGAGCTGAAACTTTCATCCCTGCTCCACCATAGAGGCCCCACAAACAGTACTTCTTAACCATTTTTTCTTATTGCCATTGATGTCTTTTCCTAATCAGTATCTCCCATGGAATTTTAATACCACGAATACATTATTTACCTGATGATGTACCTATAGGGATACATAGCTATGCTTTAATACAAGAAGAATAACCTTTTCTCAGTCTCCAAAAACCAGTTTTCACCCTCTCTGGGTTGCTATCGCCCCCTGGATCACTAGGGGGGCATCCAATAAAGCAGCCTGCACCCAGGAACAGGGCATCTGAGATGTTGATTGTCAAACGAGTAGCTTGAAAAAGATGTCATTGTTAAATGCACCACTGAATTTTCTACACACAGACCCACACATTAATTGTGGGGAAAGGAAATACTTATTTTTCATTCCTCTTTTGAACAAAACCACCATAATTTTTCAGGTTTAATTTAGTAGTAAATTTGATTAACAACATTTCCAGTTTGCAATTTGAAGGTTAAGCTGCCAATTTAGGTAATACGGCTTTCATTTTAACATAAGAAGTTTATTTTAAGACTAAAAGCAGTTCAATCTCTGAAAGAAAAATATAAACTGCCCATACTTTAGTTTTTGGTTAAGTCATCATGTCAATCTGCACTGAGATGCAGAACAAGGGCAATGTAATGGAGGTTCTAAGCAGGGCCACATTAAAATTCCCTGGCTGCCAGAAAATGCTGATATCCAGGAAGTAGGGCTATACCGAGTTTAATAAGGATTAGTTGAAGACAGGGTGGCTGCTGGGTCAAATACATCCTGAATTGCAGCCCCCTAGACATATGGCAGGCCCTGCACTCATGAGAGCAAAGAGCTGCCCCCTTAATCACACAAATGAAAATATACAATCTTATCCAAAAATAACATTAAGAATACAGCTGATCACTGCTAGATACCATTGAGACCTTATGTTAATAATGAACAGGGAATTTTTTAAAAATTCTAAATCTAAGACAATTGGGAAATATGAATAGTAACTATATTTGATGATGTCAAGGAATGGTGTGTGTGTGTGAATACTGTGATTATATTTTAAGACAGAAGGGATTACTTATCTCAGATTTACGTATAGATGAAATGCCTAGGAATTGCTTAGCTACATGTGATGATGTCTGGGAGTTGCTTCAAATTGGGGGTTAGGAAAACAGGCAGAGACATAGTTAAAATAGGATTGACCATGAATAGTTAACTATTGAAACTGATAAATATATGATGATTCATTATATGACCATCTTTTCATGCATGAAATTTCACTTGAAAATCACAGCAAAAAGACGGTGAAAAAGTAGAGGCCTCCCTGGGGTGCAAGGAGTTGAGCACCGCACTATGAATCAATCTGCAGCCTCTGCAGCACAAGTTCAATTCTGGCCAGCCAGGGAGCAACCCACAAGGAGAAGCAGACCTCTCCTTTCTCGCCTGCTGCTCCCCTCAGCAGTGTGTTTCAGTCAGTCTGCCTGTTCTGTTCCCCACTCTGTCTCTAGTGAATCCTTTCAGCCCCCACGTCTCTGGCCTGTACCCCAGCTCTTGTATGCAAAAATAAATAAATTTAAAAAAAACACAGTGAAAAAGTAAATCAGAGTTGGAGACAATATTTGCAATACACATAATCTGACAGAGGGCTTATATTCAGATCAAAAAATTTACAGATCAAAAGGTAAAGACAAAAGCCAACAGAAAGGCAGAGGATGGACCAGGATGATCTAAGTGGGCCTCCCTTTCTCTCTATTCCTAATTCCCAGTTGCCTGTGCCTTCTGAGGCCCTAAGACCCGTAGATGAATAAACCACCCTCTGTGCTGCAGGTGCGGGAAGCCAAGGAGGGCTTTCTGCCTGTCCCCTGTCAGACCTCAGAACTCAAATCTTAAAGAACGAGGCCTGGAGAGCAGCGGGCTCTGGTTAGAGCCCACCCTTAGGAAATCGGGGACCTCCTCAACCACTATCTACTTAGTTCCTGCACGTGCGCACGACGTCTCCTCGAGCTCCGGATTCCAGAGAATAGTTGACTGGGTGGCCAAGCTCTTTTCCCCGAGGTCTGGAGAGAACAGTGGTGGAGTGGGGCAGGCAAGTCTGGTTAATGGTCACCCTTGCTCCGGCCTGGGGAACCTGCGCACGTACTGAGTGGCCGCTCCGGGATGAGCAAGCCCGCGCCCAAGACCTGCACCCGGGGAGATTCTGGAACCGCATCGGGCACCGCTATCCAGAACATTCCTTTCCAGATCCCTTCATGGCAAGCTCCGCGGCAGCGCTTAGACATATATTTAAAGTAAATCCTTAAGTGTTAATTTCGCGACGGCAAAAAAAGGCGCACTCCCCGGGCCCGCTCTGGGCGTCCCCGCAGGAAGCCCTGGCGCGGACACTGCCCCGCCCGCCCCGCAGCCGCACTCCCGGCGCGCGGGGAGCTTCCCAGGAGCAGCCGCCGAGCCCCGCCGCGGGGCCCGCAGCCGCCCGGGGAGGAAGGCGGCCGTGCGCTCGCCCCTCCGCCGAGCACACCGCGGGCCCGCGCGCTCCGGCCACTCACCCGTGGGGCGCGGCGGGCGGGGCGGGCGGGCATCTCCTCACGGCGCGAGGACGGGCTGCCCCGCCGGCCCCACCCGCCCACGCCCGTCCTGCTGCCCCACAGCCACGGCCGCGTCGCTGCTGACTCGCGAGCAGGCGAGGACGCGCGGGAGGGCGGCGGGGCGCGGCACTGACACCCCGAAAGGAAGCGGGGAGACGCGCGCCGCCCGTCGGAGGCGGAAGCGGCTACTAGGCCCCGGACGGCCGTTCCCAGAATCCCCCGCGGGGCCCGCCGGGAACGGAAGTGCCGGAGCCTGCGCGGCGCCCCTGGACTACACTTCCCAGCATGCATGGGGAGGGCCCCGCGGCCCCGCCCCCGGCCCCTCTGGGTGGATGTGGCTTCTCTGAGCTGCAGCACTGCCCGGGAGGCCGGAGGACGCTGTCTGTGGTCCCTTCGTGGGGCAAGTGTTTGCGGCCACAAGGGGCTCCCGGACTACCCTCTCTGCAGGGCCACAGGGCAACCGTGAGAACAGTCCGTCTCCCTGGGCGAAAAGGTTTCGATAACTACCCTGAGTACCTGGAGTAAGTTTCCTGGAATCCTGGAAAATACTCCATAGAATCGTCGTTATGGAGCCGAAATGTCAAGGAAACACCAGATCTCTGGTGGACTTCATAGGGGCTAGGGAGGGGGAGGTGATCGGGTAAGACACTGTTCATGTACAGTAGATCTGCACACACATTGTCTATGGCCTAGACATAATTTCCCAGCCCAAGGACACGTCTGGAGGCGTGCAGGGAGCCAGTGCTCTCTGAACACCAGCCTCAGCACGCTGGGGTGAGCGTGAGGCCAAGTGTCCAGGAAGGCAATGAGGAGCTTCAGGGGCTGGACGTCACCGCTCCTGGCAGCAGTGAAGCCTGCTTACTGTTGAACTGTCGTTGTTCAATCCACTCTAAAAAGCCAGCTGGAAATGAAATGCGAAGGTGGTTTCGTAAGGGTGCTTAAAACCGTCCCCTCCTCCCCCACCCCCCAACTTCACTGGCATTCGGCGGTGACAGGTGGCCTGAACTCCAGTCTTCTGGTTACAGACTGAGTGTGCCTGACACACTAGCACACGAGCCAGCTCTAACTATTGTGTCTCCTTCCTTGTATGATTTCTTCACACATCCTCCGGTTACCATTTACCTATTTATCACTTCCAGCCAACCAAATCATGGCTCAGACTTTTGTTCTGGACTCTCACATAACTCTCACTTGCCAATTTAGGCCTTTGGGGTATGTTCTTTCCCTTTCCCCAGCTTCCTGAATGCGATGGCATCAGCGATGGCATTCACTGAGTGATAAGGATGGCCCTGACAAAGCAGGGCCATCAGGGGCAGACGCCTGACCCTATGAGGGGCTGAGAGTCCAGTGTGGGGAGTAGAGAAGAGGAGAATGTCGTAGAGATGACATGAGCATCAGGCGCGACTTGTGGGCCAGGCTGAGTGGTGTCAGCAGCCCTGGAGAGCCTGCAGGTACGTATTGGCTCGGTCGCCCTCTTGTGGACACAGAGGGAATTGCAGAAGGAAGAGTCACTGCCAAGTAGTTTGTCCTCAGATTATCTCAGGGGTTGACGTGTAATTTTACTCTAAACCTGCCCCACTCTTGAATTTTCAATATCCTGCAATCTACCCAAAGACATTTCCTCAGAGTAGTGCGCTTACACAGGTTGCTTTGTGTCACAGTAGGGGATCAGTTACCGCAATCAAGAAAGGAGTGGAGGGGCGGGGTGTGGACTGCTCTTGGTCCCCATCACATGGGGGAGTGAGGTGCGGTGGACATCAGTGCAGGAACTTGCCCCACACTCACGATGGTGAATTCAGGCTGCCCACAGCCGTTGGTCGTGAACAAAGATGAAGAACATGGCCTGGAGAGGTGTGTAACAGAACAAGGGCCCCTCAAATATTTCACATGGTAATCCTTGGAATCTGTGACTAAGTTTTGTGTGATAAAGGGAATTTACTGATGTCCTTATGATCATGTGATGGGAGATAATGGTGTTTTATTGACTGGGCCCAACAGAATCACAAAGGCCCTTTCTCATACATGACAGAGGGAGCAGGAGGGCAGGGCCAAGGAGGAGATGTGCTGGTGGAGACAGAGCAGAGACGTCATGGTGCTACGCCATGGCTGTGAAGAAGGAAGAGGGGCCCGAGCGTAGGAAAGCAGGCAGCGCCCCACAGCCTGAAAAGACAAGGAGACAGCTCTCTCCTAGGGCCCCAGAAAAGAGTCGTGTTGACACCTTGACGTGTGATTTGCTCCACCATTTGATCATTTGCTAAACAGTAATTGGAAAGCGATGAGAGAATTTTGTCTGATCCCATCGTGTTCATGTGGGATAAAGAGCAAATTAGAACTAAACTGTGATCTGAAAACTCAAAGGTCTCTTTCACTCATCATACCACTCAGGGTGCCAGCACATCCTCGCACACTGGGGTCCTGTGCCTTGGTGCTCAGACCAGCGTGTCTGTGGAATGTGGGCTCCCTGATCCAAGTGATTCTGCTGGGACCACCTAGGGGCCCTTGGGGAAGGATAAGAACTGCAGACAGGTGTGTGGAGGGGCTGCCGGGGAGATGGGGCAGAGGCACAGGGGCCGGGTGGAGGGAGCGGTATTGCTGTCACCATGAGAGTCTGGGTGAGGGTTAGGTGGGGAGCCCTGCCACTCTGACCTGGGTAGTCATTTATGGGGAGGTGAGGAGAGGGCACAGCTTTGATTTAAGGACAGGGGACTTGGAGGGTCGCCCTTCCCAGAAGGATGTGGAAACTCCCTTCCTCCCCCAGTGCTGTTTAGGAGAGGAGGGCCCACAGAGGGGGCTCGGGGATGGTCTGAAGAAGCCACATCTGTTCTGGGCCTAAAGGGGAAGGACCCACAGCTGATGGGGGTTCAGGAGGAAGTTACTCCTGAAGGAGGAGGGATCTAGATGAATCTGACTGAGGTTTGCCTGAGCAGAGGGCCCAGGTATCCCTGAGTGTCCCTGAATGAGGTGCCCCTGCTGTGGGCTGACCACCCCCCTCAGGCCAGGAGCTGCTGAATGTGTCAGTGGCCTCACCCTTCTCCATCTGCCTGGACAAGAGGCACAAGCACTTCCCAGGCCCTGTCCTCCTGGCCGGCCCACCTCCTCCTGCCTCACATCTCAGGGGCTGGGCTCACCCCTCTCCCACCTGAGGGCATCTGACCCCACGCCACCTGTCCAGGCTCTTCCAACCCTGGTGTGTGACCTGGGCCAGGACACCCTCAGATATGAGGCTGCAAAGGCCCCTCAAGGGGAGGGTGGATTTAGCCAACAACAGGGGGGCTGCTATTTAGCCCTTTCCTGTTTCCCTTCTAGGGGTTTGCTGAAGGACAAGGACAGCACTGAGGGGGCCTTTCCTGAGCTCATGGATAGATGAGGAGGCTCTGAGGAGGCCCCAGGCCAGCAGCTAGTGAGGGAGGAAGGGATGGGGTGAGAGGGAACAGCCATGGGAGGTGGGAGGCCAGGGAGCCATGTCCAGAAAACAAGGATGGGGTGTCCTCCTCCTGGCCAGGGACAGGATCAGATGTGGGAAATGCCCTCATACCTGCCAGACCTTCTGAAAACCAGGACACACCCCAGGGAGGCTGCCGGCGCCATCCTGACCTCAATCCCAATTACGATGGCTGCGATGACCCATGCAGAGAGGCCTGTGGTGTCTCCTCCTGATGAAAGGAGAAGAGAAAGGGGAGATGAAGGTCATTTTGTGGGGAGACGAGGAGAGACATGTAGGGAAAGGGCCTGGTGAGGGGAAGGAAAGGTCACTGGTCTGTGTGAGGTTGTGTGTCGTCCTCAGAGTGTCCAGACGCCCCTCCCGGCTGCTGCATCCTTCTGCTCTCACAGCCGAGACCTTGCACTTGCTGCACCCCTCACATTCTCCCACACGCAGCCGTACAGCTTCCCGCCATTTTCCCTTAAAGCCTCTCCTCTCACACTCTGCTTGTCCCACTTCCCTGTCCTGTCACTGTGCACGGTCTCTGAGGGCAGAGCCCACCGTCACCTCGGTGCTGTCCTCCCCCCCGGCCCCAGGTCCAGACAGAAGCCCTCTGTCTCCTCTCAGGCCCTGTCCTTCCAAGGGGCCCAGACAGTCTCTGTTCTCCCATCCACATCAGGAATGACCCCCTCTCACCTGCCAGCAGGAGTCCCTGCCAGGGGACTCGCCGTCTGTGTCCATGGGCTGAGGGAGCCTCCATGGCGTGTGCCGCCGGCTCTGAGCTCCCTCTGAGAGAAGAGCTGGGGCTCCAGAAAGGCTCCCAAGAACGGCTGCTCCTGAGTGTCATTGCTGAGGTGCTTCCTCCTCTGGGCTAAGCTCGTCCCCTGGGGCTGGATCTCTTAGATTGATCAAGTGACCTGGGGGGTGAGTCTCTGCCTGGACCTTCCCTTTCCTCTGATTTTCCTCCCTATACCCCTCCTTCCCATTTCCTTTTGGCCTACATTTGGCTGCTTCAGAAACTCCTGTACTTCTTCCTTCTTCAACTTGCCCTTTTTCTTCTTTGAAGGAGGAAATTTATCATTTTTTCCTACAGAAAAAAATGAGCACACATTCAGCCCAGACAGGCGGTGAATTCTCTAGTCTTTGCCTTTTCCAGCGTGGCGATGCGAGCCACAGAATCTGGACCCTGGTAGTTGCCTCCCGAGTGAGGCCGGATCTCATTGTATTTGTCACTGTAATTGGTCCTGATTGCTCCACCAGCTTAGCCAGGGCTCCCTTGTCTTCCGAGTGAACCTCCGCTAAGGTGACGCTGGCACAAGTCTCCCTGTGGACCTCCCCTTGATCACGCCTCCGCGAACCCTAATACCCCGACACAAGGCAGCCGGAAGACGACGGCTCCGTGGGGTCCAGCTCACGTGCGATCACCGGCCGCTCGGCCAGCCTGTTCTCCAGCCCAGCGGTGACAGTAATAACGCTGCTTGCAACGCCCCAGGGAACAAACGGGGTGGCCTGAATGTGAGTCCTCACCTGTGTGCTGAAAAAAACTCGGGACAAGACCCAGGGGCAGGCACACAGAGGAAGGTTAAAAGGTTTATTCACAAGGGAAGTGAGGTGATGGGGAGGAGAGGAAAGGAGAGAAAAAGAGATACGTCCTACCGGCAACTTGTCTGAGCCGACACCCCAGGTGCGCGCTGTAGGCAGGCGAAACAAAGCGGGCGCAGGCCCCTCAGTAGGGTGTTCCAGAAAGCAGGGATGCTTCACCCCGCCCTTAGTTCCCAGCATGCCCCTTTCAGGACGTCGGCGTCAAGGCAGGGCCATGGCATGCTGGGAGTTGTAGTCCTTGGCGCCTGGACTCTCTTTGGCAGGGAGGTGTCGGTGGAGTTGCATTGTCAATGAACCCTTCTGCTCGTAGAACACACACCTTCCCCTCCGGACATAGTAACTTACTGGAGACACACTAGGACACATATTCCTGAAAATCTGAAATCATTCACCGAGTGAGTGGTATCACTCACGGTGTGGGTGGAGTTCATTCAGGACATACTATTCCCCCAACAGGACAGGTGGATGCTTTGGGGGGCCATCTCCTTTGCCAGCAGCTTTTCTCTCAGGCCCATCCAGCAACCCCTGCTTCTGCTCTTGCTTCGTCTCTGGTCTGTACTTGTGGGCCAGCTTAAGCTCTGGGGTAGCTGTTTGGGGTCTAAGGCCTGTGTGAACTTGTACACGGCTGAGGCACTTTCTTTCAGCTGCATATAGAGAATATCTGTGGCCACTGCAGCCTGATGGAGCCGGGCAGTTGACAAAAAAGGTGAGGTCCCTTTTGGTTTAGGGACCAGAACTGAGATGGGTCAGCCTCCCTGGGCGGGCTGCAGGGGCATAGTGGCTCTGTCGCCATTTTGTGGGTCACAGGCCTGGTCACTCCCCCGGGAGCACCCACATCTTGGTGCTCCATGGGCTTTGTCCAGGCTCATTCAGGGCTCAGAACAGGATATCTAGAAAACCAAGATGGACCGTAACCCTGGATCCAGTTTTTGGAACATTCCAGAGCTCAGATCTGGGTCAATTGTTGTCTTGACAGTCCCCCAGGTCTGGGCTCTCAATGTCACTAGGAAAACCTGGAGGTGGGTATCTGAAGCCACTTCTGTCCTGGGGTTGATCTGGCAGTAAATGTTTGTGTCAGGGTGTTGTGACTCCTGTAAGAGAAGGAAGAGGCCTCTGATCCCCTGGAACTTTACCTGAACATGTGCCAGATCTCCCAGGCTTTGAGCTCACCCTGGGCTGCTCAGCGGGTGCCTGGATATGCTGTGAAGGGTGTTCCTGCCCCCAGGTCACACCCTCCTCAAACAACTCAGGTTCCAAACTTCCTGCTATTTCCTGGCATCAAGCACAGGCAGAGGAGTGGCAGGGGCAGGGGGGCAGAAGCTGGGGTCCCCTGGATCTAGGGGACAGGACACTCATTATCCACACTCACCTGGTAGATAGGGGCAGCTGGCTTGGTGTTGGTTTGGGGGGCCTGGGAGAGCAGGAGTCAGGGAACAGGGAGGGTCACTTCCCATAGTGTGAATGGCTCTGCCTCCAGAGCAGCTGACTTCACCAGGAAACCATGATGCAGAGCTGGTCCTGGCTGCACCCCCACAGCTGCACCATGTTACCCCAGAACCCAGTACCCACCCTACTGCTGACTGGACACCAGAGTCCTCTCAGGCAGAAGGAGGGGTGCGGGGGGGTAATTCTTCCCTGAAGAAGGGTCCCTCTAACACACGGCACCTGTTCCTGGGTGATTAGGGGCGGGGAGTCTGCTGGGCAGCAGGGTTGAGCCCCACCCTGAGCCTGTGCAGAAGGTCCCCGGGCAGAATGGGTGGGTGGGCTTACTGAGGAGGCAGAGTAGCCTGAGGGAACAGAGCCTGGGAGCAAAGACAGGAGTTAGCACTAGTGTGTGTGGGGAACCTGGGCCCGTCCAACAGGGGGGCTGGTGTCCTGGACCCCCAAAACTAGGGGCAAAGGAGACTCTACCTGAGAGACCCTCTACCCATTTAGGGTCCAGTGAGAGCCAGGTGGAGACCCTGGACCCAGACATCACAAGTCAGGCTGACTGAGTGGTTTAAGAAAACTTTTCTAAACCCCAGGAGGAGAAAGTCAGAGAGCAGGGGTGACAGGCAGGAGTGGACACAGGACAGGGGTTGCTCCAGGGTCTCAAGTCTGTGTGACACTCACCAGGGGTGGGCGCTGGGGGATAGTGCTCTGGGAGGCTGTGCTTGTCGCTGGTTGGAGGAAAGGCCGGATTATTAGTGAGGGGAGGTGAGGAGAGGGCACAGCTTTGGTGTCAGGACTGGGGACAAGGAGGGTCCCCCTTCCCAGCTATGGAGACCCTCATCCTCTTAAGCACTGCTTAGAAAGGGAAGGCTCATGAGAGGGGAGCAGGAAAGGCCTGAGGAAGCCACATCTGTCCTGGGCCTGAGGGGAAGGACACGCAGGTGATGGAGGTTCAGGAGGAAGTTACCCCAGAAGGACCTGGGACCCAGGAGAGGAATCTGACTTGAGGGTTTGGCTGAGCAGAAGGTCAGGGCCTCAAAGGGACAGCAGGACCAGTGTGTGCTGGACATTCAGAGAGCCCAGGAGTGTGGGAGTCCAGGAATGAGAGCTGTGGAAAACCATGTCCCACTGGGCCACGAGAGGCTGAATGTGCCAGTGGCCTCACCCTTCTCCATCTGCCTGGACAAGAGGCACAAGACTTCCCAGGCCCTGTCCTCTTGGCTGGCCCACCTCCTCCTGCCTCACACCTCAGGGGCTGGGCTCATCCCTCTCCCACCTGAGGGCATCTGACCCCGCGCCACCTGTCCAGGCTCTTCCAACCCCATATGTGACTTGGGCCAGGACACTCAGATCTGAGGCTGCACAGGCCCCTCAAAGGGAGGGTGGATTAAGCAAAATAGGGGTGCTGCTACTGAGCCCTTTCCTGCCTCCCTGCTGGAAGGACAAGGACAGCACTGAGGGGGCCTTTCCTGAGCTTGTGGATAGATGAGGCGGCTCTGAGGAGGCCCCAGGCCAGCACCTGGTGAGCGAGGAGGGGGTGATGCGAGAGGGAACAGCCATGGGGAGGTGGAGGCCGTGGGAGCCACACTCACAAAACCAGGGCATTCGCCCTCCGTGGTGTCTACTGCCTGCTCTGTGCTCCCTCTGAGAGCGGAGCTGGGCTCCAGAGAGGCTGCTCCTGAGTGTCAGGGCTGAATTCCTCTTCATTCAGGGACACCCGGTCCTGAGAGCTGAGTCTCCTCCCTGCTCAGGAGCACTTTCCTGGTCACGGAGCCTGCATGCATGTGTGTGTGCGTGTGTGTGTGTGTGGGGGGGTATGCGTGTGTGTGTGTGTCTGCCCTGGGCGCTCCCTTTCCCCTCTCCTCATTCTCCTCCCTCTTCCCTTCCTCCTATTTCCAATGTCTACATTTGGCTCCGCCTCAAACTACTGTAGCCTCCGCCCTTTTCTTTTACCTTTTCAAAAACAGGTTTATGAGGAGAGGAGAAGGGAATAGTCCCCACATGGTCAAGGCGGGCAGGAGACTGCTGCCTCTCCCTGTTTCAGCTGTGACTGCTCAACTGACAAACATAGAAAGACACACACACTCACACACACACACTCTGAACATAGAAACACACACACACTCACACACACACACTCTGAACCACACTCTGACACACACTCACAAACACACCCACACTCTCACACTCACACAGACGCACTTACATAGACACACTGTTGGACAAGCATAAGCCTGGAGTGTATATGTCCAGGGCTCCCCCACAGCTCTGTGTCCAGGTTCGGAGCACCTCAAAACCCTCTCTTCTCCCTCTGCTTTTTCCTGTCAGAGCTGATGCTAGGGGCCTCCTCAGCAGCTCCTGTCACAGGCTGTCCCCTCTGTGTACAGAATCACCTGAGGAACTCACTAAAGATGGTGAATGCCCAGGTGACACCTATACAGGCTGATTCAGCAGCTGCCCAGGGAATGGGGTGCCCCACCAGGTTCCCTATGATGGCTGTGGGAGCCTCTGCCTGTCTTGTTTATAGGAAGGGGCTGCAGATTCTGGGAACATGCAGCCCCTGACCCAGCAAGTGAGGGGGGAACCTGAGCATCTGTGTCTCCCCAGCTCTCAGGTGATGCTGGTCATCCTGGCTTGCAGAGCCCACTTTCCAGAGCAAGGCTGATGGGGACCCCGTGCCTGAGAGACTCCTGCCCCATTGTGCCTGTGCTGTGTCCTGTCCTGGGGTCTACAACACCAGGCTTAGATCGGGGTCATGACCTTGGGTGACAGTCCTTGGTCACAGCATGCCCAGGTGGGGATGAGTCTTCCCGGTGCCTCAAGTGCTCTGGGTTGTGGCATTTCATTCTCAGTAGGGGGGTCCTGAAAAGAGTTGAGGAGCTAGAAAGGGGTACAAGTGAACCACCTGGCGAGGAGCCATCCTCACCCCCATGAGGATGAGCTCAGGTCAGAAACTCTGAACCTGGGTGTTCCAGAAGGAGCAGCAGCTCCTGGAGGGGGTAACTGCATCTCACGTGTCCTGCGAGGAGCGACCTGTGGTGGATGGTCAGTGGGGCCTGGGCCCTCATGGTCTGCAGGGACAGTCTAGACTCCTGTCCCCAGAGTCTGACATATAAGCTGTGTCCCAGAGGATTGTCCACCTTCTCCCTGACTGTCCTGGGGCTCTGTCCTCCACCATCTCACTCTCCTGGGGTCACCCGCCTCTCCTGTAGTGGTGCAGGGAGGGAGTGGGAGCTATACAGGGACCCCAAGGCCAGCTCTCAGAGCCCAGGAGGGGTGATTTGGATGGAGCATGGTGCTCAGGCCAGGGGACTCACCCTGACTTACTCAGTGGAGGGACTGGCCCAGCCCTCCCAGAGCTGACATCACCTGGATCTGTGTCAAGCTTTTAGGGCTGGTTAGAGTCCTCTGAGAAAGGAGACAGGAGAGGCCGTGTGAGCAGGGTGTAAGTTCTCCCTGCTGACAGGTGGGGACCAGTGTCCACATCTCAGGAGCTCACCATTGGCCCAGTGCACTCTGTAGAGCTCTGTCCCTACCTGATGACTTGACTCAGGTCCCAAGTCTGGGGAGACCATTGGACCCGGGGCTACCCCTGGAGGTGCCGGGTCCAGGTGTCTCACACACTGGCTCTGATATCTGGGGTCAGGTGTCAGGGGTGTCTGCTCCACCAGGTCTATCTATCAAGAGTAGGGTCCTGGAACATTGCCCCTGGTCACCCCATGGCTCAGCCCTGGGTCCCCACGGAGAACAGGCTGATGTGTCCCTGCACTTGAGAAGGAGCCAGCACTGAGTCATGGTTACAGAGCAACTAGTCAGTGATGGTGGAGGGGGTGAAGGAAGGGCCCCGTGTGGTTGTAGCTCATAGTGGAGCCCCCAGCGACGTGTTCTGATCTCCAGGACTGTGTGTAGAGCAGAGTGGGTCAGTTACAGATGGAGGAGGGCGTGAGGGAGGAGACCATGGACACTCACGGGAAGATGCCTGACTGCATGAGGAACTGAGAGTCCTGTGTGGGGAGTGGAGAGCAAGGAGGTCTGTGGCTGAATGCTGAGGGTCGGACCTGGAAACGTGGGTAAGGCAGACAAGTGCCAGCCCTCCTGGGAGGCTGCAGGAGCGCAGGGCTCTTTCGCCATCTTGTGGCCACAGGGGGTAGTGCAGCAGTTGTGTTCGGCTTCTCACTTGTGGCAAGGACAGGCTTATTAGGAAAAGGAGAAAGCAGAAGAGTTGCCCCTGCACAGTCACAGCACATTGCTGCCCCGTCTCTTTGTTCAACACACTCTGGGCAATTTCCCAAGCATCACACCTCCTGCAGAAGCTCCGCCCTGTCCCAGCTCAGGAGTCCCTGTGACCCCCCAGTCATCCCCGTCTCCCTCAGTGAGTGATCCAGCCTCAGATCTGCAGGAATATGTGTCCGAGTGTGCCCAGTAAGTTACTGTGACCGGAGGGGATGGTGTGTATTTCAGGGAGCAGAGCGGAGCACTGACAATGCAAAGTGCACCCTCATTCCCCTCGCCTGGTCTGTTTGGGGACACTCACAGCACACACCTGTCCCCAACCAGGGGCGGCTCTCCTGGGCCTCAGATGTTGATGTGACTTCACACTCACACTCCTCTCTCGAAGTGAAGAGTTTCACTTGGAGATTAGTGCAGGTCAGGAAGTGTGATGAGGGGGCTTTGCCCACTAGGATGCAGTTGACTGTCTGGTGTCATTTCTGGTTGTCACAGTTGGGGGGGCATCCTCCTGGCAGTTAGGGGTTCAGGTCCCCATGGTGCTAACAGCCTGCATTGTGCAGATGCCCCAGCCAGGAGGAGCAGACCCATGTCAGTGGTAAGGAGGTTGAGTCCAGCTTCGCCCTCCCCCAGCTTCTCAGGAGGGGCCCCCGCAGCCGCTGCTCCCTGTCTCTGCAGACCTTTCCTCCGCCAGTCCCTCCTGCTCCTGCTTCTCTCTTCCAACCCTGGTGAGCTTGATCTTCTACCAGATCCGCCCTCACCTCTCCTCTCCTGTCCCTTCAGCTCTTCATCCTGCGGGAAGAGTATGGGGTGGGGGGCTCTTACCCCCTCATGAGGTCGAGATACATTTTCCATCACCTAATGCAGGGGCCACTTGTGCACTGGGCCAAGGAGTCCTCATGGAGGTGGGGGCCCTGGCCTTGGCCCTGGGCAGTAGGACAGCCGGTGCCCTCCATGGGGACAGTACTGTGTGAGCTCAGCTTCATGAGCATCGTCCCTTCTCATCAACACTCCCTGTCACCCCATCTATTTCTGGGGAACAGACATACATTTGGCAATACTTCGGAGATATTACTTTTTCCCTGTGAGGCCCAGGAGAGATGGACCAAGTGTGGGTGAATATGTGCAGAGAAATCCTATGTGGAGGCAGAGCAAATGGGGGAGGCTCCCTCGTGGGAGCCCAGCCTCGTGGGGTGGTCCCCAGTGGGTCACAGGCCTGGTCACTTCCCAGAAACTTCCCACCCCCTGGTGCTAAATGGCCTTTGCTCTGGTTCATTCAGGGCTCAAAACAATGTACTGGGGTCTCCAGAAAACAGAGGAGCCCCAAACCTGATCCAGTTTTCAGAAGATCCCAGAGCTCAGATCTGGGTCAGTTTTAGCATATATATATATATATATATATATATATATATATATATATATATATATTTAAAAAGCAGGTTTATTACAAAAAGGGTTAAAAAAGTAAAGTATACTTGCATAGACACAAGTGGGCAGGAAGAGCCCCCCCAGAAAGCATAGGTTTGCTAAGAGAGGCCTGCATGGTTGCAGGCAGGTGGCCTTGACTGGTCACGGGCAGGTAGTAAGGCTGCTGCCCTGCAGAGGGAGAGAGTTGGTGGAAAGAGGCACCTTCATAGTCACAGGTGGGCAGTGGGATGCTGCCAGTTCTAGCTCTTGACACCTCCAAAGTCTCAGGTCTCAGAGCCTCTAGCAAGACCTGAAGGCGAGGTTCTCAGAAGGAACTAAGAAGCCACTTCTGTCAAGGGGTTCAACCGGCAGTAGATGTTTGTGTCGGGCTGTAGTAACTCCCGTAAGAGAAGGAAAAGGCCTCTGAGCCTCCAAAACCTCAGAACCTGTGTTGCATCTTCCAGAACCCGGGTAACCTCATCTTATGTGGGGCTGGCTGTTCCTGGAGGGCTCTGCTACCAGGCCCCTACATCTCCAAGCACCCTCTTGTACATTTTCCCTGCTTGTTCCTCATGTCAAAGCATAGCCAGGCCAGTTGTGGGCAGAAGCTGGGCTCCCCTGGGCCTGGGGGACAGGATGCGCATCGCCCACACTCACCTGGTAGATGGGAACAGCTGGCTCTGTGTCAGGCAGGGGGACCTGGGCAGGGGGAGAGAGCAGGTGTTAGGGCATGGCGAGGGAGGGTCACTTGCCATAGAGTGACTTTACTAGGCAACCCTGAACCCCAGTGCTCGTCCTGATTGTACCCCCCACACTTGTGTTACCCAGGACCCTGATGAGTTAGTCCCAGCCCCCACTTGCTGCTGATTGGACTCCAGGGTCCCATTAGGCTGAATAAGGGGAGCAGAGAGGAGTCACTCTTCTCTGAAGATGGGTTCAGTGCAGCCCAGGTGCTGGCCCCAGCCAATGGGTGTAGGGAATCTTCCTGCAGCAGGGCTGAGCCCTACCCTGAGCCCGGGCAGCAGGACCCTGGGCAGAAGGGATGGGTGGGCTTACCGAGGAGGCGGAGTGGCCTGAGCGGGCAGAGCCTGGGAGCAGAGACAGGAGTTAGCACGAGTAGGGGAGGAGCCTGGGCCTGTCCAGGAGCAAGGCTGGTGTCCTGGACCCCCAATAATAGGTAGGAGAGAGACTCTACCATTTAGGGTCCCTTGAGACCCAGGTGGAGACCCACAACCCACACATCACAAGTGCTGAGTGTTTTATGAAAACATTTCTGAGCCTCAGGAGGAAACAGTCAGGGAGCAGGAGTGACAGGCAGGAGCAGACACAGGACAGGGGCTCTCCAGGGTCTTGAGTCTGTGTGACACTCACCAGGGGTGGGTGCTGGGGTCCGGCGCTCTGGGAGGCCTCGCTTGTCGCTGGTCCTAGGAAAGGCCAGATTATTAGTGAGGGGAGGTGGGGGAGGGCACAGCTTTGGTGTCAGGACAGGGGATTTGGAGGGTCCCCCTTCCCAGAAAGGGTTTGGGGATATGTTCCTCCTGTTCTAAGAGAGGAGGGCCATAATAAGGGTACAGGAAGGCTAAGAACACTTATCTGTCCTGGCCCAGAGGCAAGGACCTGCAGCTAATGGGGGTTCAGGAGTAAGTTACCCCAGAAAGAGGAGGGACTCAGGAGAGGAATCAGACTGAGGTTTGCCTGAGCGGGTCAGTGCCTCAGAGGGACAGCAGGGCCAGTGTGTGCAGGAAATTCAGGGTCCCCAGGTATGTGGGTCTCCCTGAATGAGGTCCCCTTGCTGTGGGCCGATCCTCACAGTCCGGGAGAGGCTGAATGTAACAGTGGCCTCACCCTGTCCATCTGCCTGGACAAGAGGCACAAGCTCACCCCAGGCCTGCCCTCCTGGCCGCCTCACCACCTCCTCTCTCACACCTCAGGGACTGGGCTCACCCCTCTCCCACCTGTGGGCATCTGACTTGACCCTGCCTGTCTAAGCTCTTCTGCCTCATGTGTTTGACCTGGTATAAGACACCCATAGATTTGAGGCTGCACAGGCCCCTCCTAGGGAGAGTAATTTAGCGAACAACAGTGGGTGGTGCTACTGAGTCCTTCCTACCTCCCTGCTGGGGGTTTGTGAGGGACAAGGACAGCACTGAGGGGGCCTTCCCTGAGCTCATGGATAGCTGAGGAGGCTGTGAGGAGGCCCCAGGCCAGCAGCTGGTGAGGGAGGATCTGGATGGGGTGAGAGGGAACAGCCATGGACAGGTGGAGGCCCTGGGAGCCATGCCGAGAAATCAAGGACGAGGTGTCCTCCTCCTGGCCTGAGACAGGATCAGATGTGGGAAATGTCCTCGTACTTCCCAGACCTTTTGCAAACCAAGACAATAGCCAGGGCGGCTGCCAGCACCACCCCTGCCAGGACCCCGATGACGATGGCTGCAATGGCCCCCGCAGAGAGGCCTGTGGTGTCTTCTTCCGCTGAAAGGAGAAGAGAAAGGGGACATGAGCCCAGGGCCATTCTAGTGGCACCATGAGGAGCCTGACAGGAAGGGCCTGGCGAGGGGAAGGAAAGGTCACTGGTCTGTGTGAGGTTGTGTCTCCAGACGCCCCTCCCGGCTGCTGCATCCTTCTGCTCTCACAGCCGAGACCTTGCACTTGCTGCACCCCTCACATTCTCCCACACGCAGCTGTACTGCTTCCCGCCATTTTCCTCAAGGCCTCTCTTCTCACACTCTGCTCTTCCCTCTTCCCTGTCCCGTCACTGTGGGTGGTCTCTGAGGGCAGAGCCCACCGTCACCTCAGCACTGACGAGGAATAGTAATATGAGCTGATGTGTCCTGGTCGGCCTGTGCCAGGCTCATGGAAGAACTTTCCATTCCTTCACCTGGCCCTCCTTCCAGGAGGGAGAGGGTGTCATCCCCACGCTGCATAATCAGAACCTGAGAGAAATGCTGAAATAGTACAGGGGTCACAGAGCAGAAGAGATAAAACCAAACTGCAACCAAATTCTGCTGGTACATCAGTGAATAAAAATAAAGTTAATGAACATAAATCCTCATTGACACCCTCCCTAAAACCTTGATATTTTGAGTAAGACATTTATTTCACTGACTCCTAATCACCACTCTCAAGACAGCCTGAGATCCAGTTCTTGTATTTCAGTTTGGCAGATGGGGAAACTGAGGCTCAGGAGGTTGAGCCTTGCCCGAGGTCAGACAGCTGGGTCATCAGACCAGCAAGACTGGCCTAATTCTGGTGCTTCCCCATGTTGCCCCACAGGCTCTGAGGAGGCATCCACTCAAGGCTCCTCCATTTCACACCCCTTCCCCCCATTAATGAGACATATAAGGATGAAGTAGGAGATGTGGAGGGTCACTCCCCCTTCACAGTGAGGGTGAGGGGGTCACTTCTGATGAACTGACCAGGTTGGAGACCTCACACTGATACTCCCCGGCATCCTCCCTCCTGACAGGGCTGATGGTGAAGGAGCTCCTGTCCTGGGACAGCATCATCCTGTCTGTGAGCCACAGACATTGTTATTGAGCAGCCACAGGGTAGAGATCTCAGTGTCTCTTGTGAGGCTGGTGAGGACCACGAGGTCCTTGTGTTCAGTGACTGTGGTGTTGCTGGCTTGGATGGAGGGCAGGGCCACTGGCTCTGTAGAGAAGCAGCAGAGGTGACTGAGTGCGAGTGGGTTTGGGGCCTGGGCTATACTCCCTCCTCAGATCTCAGCCCTTCACAGGCCACAGAGCACCTGCATAATTCCAGAGACTGGACCTGGCCTCTGCAAGATCCAGTGTCTGTGTTCAAGTGATGACATCTAAGGTGAAGGTGACACCTGCCCTCTGACCCCAGTTGACCCCAGGGTGATATCAGACTTGTACCCTTGGGCATCTCTGCATTATTGGCAGAAGGAATTCCTTCTGAGCTCAAATTCTTCATTCAGAAGAACTTTTTCTCCTGGACTCTGTGTAACTTCCAGAAATTTAATAACCTTGAAAGGTGAGGTCCCCTTCCTCTTATAAACTGTATGTTGGAGGATGGATGCCTGACTTTTGCTTCCTCATTTGCATAGGAACAATCTAGAGAAGGGGTTACAGATTTCACAAGGCTGCACCCTGAGAACAGAAGGAAACTATTACAACATAAGAAAGACCTAGAGGAAAGGCCCTCGACATCACCTTCATGCTGATACTCTAAGTTTAGCCCCTAAGATGAGGAAGAAGGCAGGGTGCACTTCCCCACCCCCATCAGCACAGGACTGATGTGTAATGTCCATGCCTGGACCATCAGGCAGGAAAAAGAACAACAGACATTGCCCTGGGCAGGAGAAGTGCAGTTCGGTTTGTTTGCAGATGGTGTGAACTTAAATATAGAAATACTTAAAGGTTGTACAAAAATGATGAGAACTAAAAATCAAATTAGGAGGGTTACAGTGTACAAAATCAGCATACTAGTAATGAACTCTCTGACACGGAAATCAATAGAACAGTTCCACTTACATTAATATCAGAGATCAAATACTAAGGGATTAACCTAAGCAATGAGTGACAGACTCTTCCATAGAGGTATGAAAAGCAGTGAAAGCAGGTAATTGGTCAAACAGGCAAGCTGAGAGGACTTAAAGCAGACAAAGTAATGGAAAGGGCATCTTTGTTGATGTGTCAGGAGACTTAACATCGTGAAGATGACAATACAATGCAGAGAGACCCCACATTCAGAGCAGTTCCTGTACAATCCTTGTGATGTATTTTGCAGAAATAAAATTTCCAAAAATGGTAATAAATTTTGACCCTTGTTTCACACCATGAAATTAACTTCATATGGATTAAAGAGCTACATAGTGTCAAAATTGTCAATGTTCTAGAAGAAAAGAGAGGAAAATGTCTTATATTAGATTTACCAATGGTTTGTTACATATGATAAAAAAATTCAGACTAAGAATCAGAATACACAAAAACTCCTGTAATTCAACAACAAATAGAAAATTGACCGAGGGGACACTTCCTCCTGTGTCATCTGCAAAGCCCTGTCCTATTCATGGGGCTCTGGGGTTGAGCTAAGCCTTTCCCACTCCAGGATGGACCTTCATCTGCCAAATGACAAATCGGAGAGCAAGGGTGGGGCTCAGTCCGCAGATGGTCCAGGCAATCACTTACCAAGGACTGTGATGATCTTGAATGTGGTCATATTGAGGCCAGTGGCCTTGTTGTGGGCCAGGCAGGTGTAGGATCCATTGTTACGCTGAGTGATGTTGGGCATAAAGAGCACCTGTGTGGATTGCTGGGGCCTCCCATTGATCAGCCAGGAATAGTGTGCAGGCGGGTTAGAGGCTGCGTGGCAGGAAAGGTTGAGGTTTGCCCCTGCACGGTAGTAAGGGTCTGAGGGGAAGATGGTCGGGGTGTCCGGGCCATCTGGGCAGAGAACAAAGTGACACGTGATGGCATCAGAGGGAGGAGGCGCCTGGGCTGTTCAAGGGCCACAGTGTCCCTCTGAACGGGACTCTCCTTGTTTGAAATGGCCCCACCACCACCCCCGACTACTGCTCCTGTGTCTGAGATGCTCCCCTGCTCCTCCATCTCAGGTTGTGGACCCGAGCCCCCAGCCCAGGAGCAGCCCCCCTCCTAGTCCTGGATCAGGCTGGGCCTGCCTGGCTTTGCCTGGAATGGGCAGTCATGCCCAGCCCGGGTGTCCAGGGGAGGGTCGTGCACTTGGACCTGAGGGGGACGATGGGGCCTGGGCTTTGACTGTGTGTGTGTGGGGCAGCCCGGCCCGCGTTGGGACAGGAGTTACTCACAGAGAACATTCAGGCTGAGTGGGTCGCTGCAGCGGGCACTCACTGGGTTCCGGGTCTCACACACATAGGGTCCCCTTTCAGTCCTGGTGACACGGAGTAGCGTGAGGGTCCTGTTGTCCTTGGACAACTGCAGCCTGTCTCTGTCCAGGAGGCTCTGGATGCGGAAGGACCACAGGTGGGTTGTGTCCAGAGTCTCAAGTCCACATGTTAGCACCACAGTGTCCTTGTCCTCCACGGGGTCCGAGTTGTTGCTTGTGATGTGGGGTTTGGGTAGCTCCTCTGAGCAGGGAACAGAGAGAACATTGCCCTGAGGTCCCCTGACTCCTGCAAAAGTGTCTGCATATAGTTGGCATCTCTCACCTCTCGGCCACCCGAGTCCTTAGGCACAAGGCGGGTGTGTGTCTCCAGACAAATGCAGGAGGGTGTGAGCTCAGAGCGTGAGGCTGCCTGCTCCATGATGACAAAGACAGACCTTCTCTGCGTCAGGTCAGTGTCAGGGCTTAACATGGAACCCAGGTCAGGAGTCAGAGCACCAGCTCCTGCATTTCATCACTGAGCAGTGATGCCTGACCTGCTGTGCTCACCTGGGATGGGGGTGCTGGGTCCCTCCAGTTGCACAGGTGTGCACTGCTGGGTTGAGAAGTGTTTTCCCTGAGGCCTCTCTCCCAGGGTTTCCTAGAGCTGGGAGAGGATGTGCCACCCACAGTCCTGAGAACCCAAGTGTGGAGGCAGCAGGGCCTGGACATGGGTGTTGGAGCAGAAATGACACAGGGACCAGGGGCCAGCCTGGTGGTCAGGTCAGCCTTAGGCTGCAGGGCTGTGAGGTGGGCAGTACTGCCCAGGTGATGGTGTGACTGATGGATAGTGACCTGAGAAGGGAGAGCAGAGTCCAAGGAAGGTTCTAGGACAGAGTGAAGGGACCATGGAGCTGGCTGGCAGCAGAGCCAGGTCCTCTGTCCTTGGTCTTTCATGTCTCCTCTCTGAGGGCAGCTGAGGGCCCTGCTGGTCTCTTTTGACATCCTCCTGGACAACAATGACTCAGAGGAGTGACTTTTGGACAGTGAGAGCAGGTAGCTGGTGAAACAGGCAAGTGTTTAGAGGATGGGGTTTGGTCCCAGTTCCTGAAGACACAGGGACCCACCCGCACTCCAATGTCTAAAGAATGTATGAATCCTTCACTCTATCATCATCATTCAATCCGTCAGTAAGAAAGATGGAGAGTTTGTTCCACGTTGGCATATTACTTGTTGTGGTTGTAGATTATAGAAAGGAAAATCTTTCCCATTTTATCCCAACACATCAGGAAGGGCAATGAATTTCTCATCCAGTGCATGGAGGTGTGGATCAGCCCAGAGGGGGAGGCCTGGGCCCCCAGCACTGACTCTGCTGGAGGATGCGGGTCATTGAGTTCTAGAGTCAGCAGGGGGCATTTCCATTTGCTCTCACTCTCCAGACCAGAATCTCTGTGTCTCAGCTGGGGAGGCCCAGGAGGAGAGGAAGTGAACCAGCAGCTGGTTTCAGGGGCCCCAGATGAATACTGCTCCCCAGAATTAGGAGAGAGTGGGCTGTGACTGCAGACAGGTCATGGGCTCACTCTGATGTGGGTCTTGGTCTGATGACCCTTATTCAGTGTCTCCTGTAACTTAATTCCTCTCAATAAAATAGGGTAAGTGGTAAATAGTCTCAGGCCTCCCGTGTCTGTGAATGAACCTTCAGTCTTTCACCATTACCTGATCTGAGGTTTGTGCAAAGGAGCCGCCCAAAGACGAGGCGCCTGGTATTGTTTGTCTCCATGTGGGAGGGCTCGCTGGGCTGATCCTGGGTGTACGTGCAGCTTCCAGAAAATCTCTGTCTCTCCTCCCTTGGTGACCTGACCTTACTTTGGCATCTCCTATGTGCTCAGACATGCTATGTATTGACCAGGGACCTGCGATCTGCTCGCCAAGTCTCAGGCGAAAGACCAGGCTCTGTTCTTGCCCAGAGGAGGCTCTTGGGGCTGGGCCTTGGCTAGTGACCCGCTCGGGAGCCTCAGGACTCAGGTTTTCAGGAAATTGCTACAGCTCTGTCTACGAGAAGAGATCCCACCACTGACAGGGCCTCCTCAGGGTCACTGGGGTCGGGAGCCCTGGGACAGGACCTGGTCAGGGGCTTCCTGGGATAGAACTTCTCTGTGAGGATTCAGGCTGCCCATGTCAGGCCCTGACCAGACTTTCAGGGTGCTTCCTGGGTCGTGCTTACAGGTAGGGCTCCAGGGGTCTGAGAATGACTCCCCATCCCCAGCTGCTGCATTATTTGGCAACTGGTCTCTCTTCTGCAGGGAATGAGGCAGGACTAGATTCAGTAGGGACTTCAGTCTTATGCGCCTTTTCCACTCTGTTTCCTGCACTAAATGATCAACCCCAACATGACACACAGTTGGGGGATGAGGCCGAGCCAGGCCTGTGAGTCCCGTGTGTGTGAAGCAGATTGACCCTCCAAACCCAGAGGCCAGAGAAGAATTACTCACCAAGTACTTGGAAACGTCCTATGCCTCCTCCGTCGGTGAGGTCATCATATAGAACTAATACATAGTAGTCTCCTGTGTCTGCCTTGGTAACGTTCCGGATGAGCAGGGATCCACTGGGGTATATAGTCTCTCGACTGCTGTACATAGGCCCGGTGGAGGTATTTTGAGTGTCTACTCTATAGGATATAATAAGTTGATTGCTGTCCACACCTCCTCCTTTATACCAGCTATATTTCAGAGGTTCCCTTGACAAATTGGAGACACGCAGAAGAACATCTTTCCCTTCTGCAACATTAGCAGGCTCTGGTTTAACAGTCAGGTGGGCAGTGACAAGCGGGATCCAGAAGGTTGAGAGTGAAGCTAGGAGGGAAGTGAGAGAAACTGATCAACGTTTGGCCAAAGTATTGGCATGGGAAGGGGTGACCTGGGGCCTGAGCACTTTATCAATCCCTTTATGATCATTTTTGGGGTGTGTGTGTGTCCCACATGTTCACGGTCAGCAGCATGCCCTCCACCCTCCAGACCCTTTTCCTTTTTCTTCCCTCTCTTTGAACACACTTCCCAGAGTGTTCTCCTCATCCCCCAAGCCCCCTAAAGCCCCTGCTCACCCTGAGAGCATCCTTGGGAGATGCCTCCCTGACCCCCTGCTCTGAAGACCCGCTGTCCTCACTGTGTGACCTTTCCCTGCTCTGTGCCCTTCAGAACACTTGTCAGCACCTGACAGCTCGTTCTAATGTTAGATCTTAGTTATCTCTCTCACCAGCCGAGGACCTGCGCTCCCTGAGGGCAGGGACTACTCCGGTCCCGTGACAGGATGGGCGCCATCCCTGTGGATGAGTGAGCGTCCCCAGGGCCTCTATGTTTTGCCTGGATGATTTGCCCAGTTCTAAGGGCGGGGTCTAAGGGGGGTTAATGTTCAGTTTGTACATTTTTTATGACACAAACTCTTGATATAAATTGTTATTATTCTCATCATTTCCCAAAAATTTTGTCTAGTGATAAATCACTTAGAAAACAACTGAGGTCTCCTGGCCTCACACTTCAAATGATGACAACTTCATGCTGAGAAGCTGTCGTCTTGTCCCTGCTCTCCTGTCCCCTCGCCCCAGGTACACACAGAAGCCGTCCGTCTCCTCTAAGACCCTGTTCTCCCTGGAAACCTCAGTGTATCTGGTCTCCTCCTCCCACCCCCAGGAATGGCCCCTCTCACCTGCCAGCAGGAGCCCCTGCCAGGGGCCTCGGCCTCTGTGTCCATGGGCTGAGGGGGCCTCCATGGGGTCCCTGCCTGCTCTGTGCTCCCTCTGAGAGGAGCTTGGGCTCCAGAGAGGCTCCCAAGCAGGGCTGCCCCTGAGTGTCAGCGCTGAGTTCCTGTTTCTTCAGGGACACCCGGTCCTGAGAGCTGAGCCTCCTCCCCACTCAGGAGCACTTTGCTGGTCACGGGGCCTGTGGGTGGGTGTGTCTGCCCTGGGGGCTCCCTCTCCCCTCCCCTCATTCTCCGCCCTCTTCCCTTCTTCCTATTTCCAGTGTCTACATTTAGGGCTCCCAGATTATGTAGCCTCTGCCCTTTTTCCTTTTCAAAAACAGGTTTATGAGGAGAGGAGAAGGGAATAGTCCCCACATGGTCAAGGCGGGCAGGAGACTGCTGCCTCTGCCTGTTTCAACTGTGACAGTTCAACTGACAAACATAGAAACACACACTCACACACGCACACTCTCACATACACACATTCACACACTTGCACTCTGACACACTCACACTCACACAGACACGCTTACACAGACACACTATTGGATAAGCATAAGCCTGGAGTGTCCATGTCCAGGGCTCCCCCACAGCTTTGTGTTCTGGTGCAGGGCACCCCCAAGGCCTCTCTCCTCCCTCTACTTTTTCCTGTCAGAGCTGACCCCTGGCCTCCTCAGCAGCTCCTGTCACAGGCTGTCCCTTCTGTGCACAGAATCACCTGGGGAACTCGCTAAAGATGGTGAATGCCCAGGTGACACCTACACGGGCTTATTCAGCAGCTGCCCAGGGAACAATGTGCCGACCAGGTGACCCCATGATCGGTGTGGGAGCCTCTGCCTGCCCTGTGCACAGGGAGGGGCTGCAGATCCTGGGAACATGCAGCCCCTGAACCGGCAAGTGAGGGGCGACCTGAGAATCTGCATCTCCCCAGCTCTCAGGTGATGCTGTCATCCTGGCCTGCAGAGCCCACTTTCCAGAGCGAGACTGATGGGGACCCCTGTGCCTGAGAGAGACCTCCTGCCCCGTTGTGCCTGTGCTGTGTCCTGTCCTGGGGTCTACAAACACCAGGCTTAGATCGGGGTCATGACCTTGGGTGACTGTCCTTGGTCACAATGTGCCCAGGTGGGGATGAGTTTTCCCGGTGCCTCAAGTGCTCTGGGTTGTGGCATTTCATTCTCACTAGGGGGGTCCTGAAAAGAGTTGAGGAGCTAGAAAGGGGTATGAGTGAACCACCTGGTGAGGGGCCATTCTCACCCCCATGAGGACAAGCTCAGGTCAGAAACTCTGAAGCTGGGTGTTCCAGAAGGAGCAGCAGCTCCTGCAGGGGGTAACTGCATCTCACGTGTCCTGTGGTGGATGGTCAGTGGGGCCTGGGCCCTCATGGTCTGCAGGGACAGTCTAGACTCCTGTCCCTGGAGTCTGACGTATAAGCTGTGTCCCAGAGGATTGTCCACCTTCTCCCTGACTGTCCTGGGGCTCTGTCCCCCACCATCTCACTCTCCTGGGGTCACTCGCCTCCCCCATGGTGGT